GAAAGTTTTTCCCTGCATACCTGCCCTCAGAACAGATCCCCAGGGTTTATGCACTGTCCCCCCCCCCCCCCCCCCCTTGTGCAGACTGTGCAAGCATGAGCACACATATACACAGAGAAGTACATAGACAGAGATGTAGGTAAATAAGTGTGGCATGAAGACCAGAACAGCAGAACAAGAGGTATATAAAGATAACATGTCAGGGGTCCGTCTATTACCACCAGAAACAGATGAATTACACGTTTATACAGTGGCTGACTCTTCCATCATCTCCCTAAAAATAGATATCAAAAGAAAAAGAAAAAATAAATAAATCTGCACTTCAACTGCGTTCAGCACGGGTTAATGCACCCAAATTGCACCAATCATAGCCTTATTCTAACACTGCAAGCCTATGAAAATGACTACTGAGACTTTTGACGGAAGGCCTGCAGAAAAGGGTAGGGGGGTGCACTTTTGTCCATGACTTAACTAGAACAAAAGAGCATCAGTGAAGCACATTATCTTGTCAGGCCTTACCTGACAGAAAAATGATCCTATTGTTGCCAGCAGAAGGTGTGAACGTCATCACCAGGTAGACGGAATATGACAGTAATGGTAATTTTCAGAGAAAATACACACACGCGCGCACAACTTAAGCACATTAATGGAGAGACGTGATGATTTAAGTGCTGCAATTCTAAAGGAATTCAGTTTTAGAAATTTCTGCTTAAACCTCAACGTTGTCAATGCAGATTCTATTATATATGCATTTCATGTGTACCAGACACAAAATAAGCAAAATAAGCAATATGTGTGCTGCCATCGACATTGTAGGAGATGCCCATCTAAACTATTTGTCTGTAATAATACAAACTATCTCTGGGATTGAAAACTTTATGGTAAGAAAAAAAATTTGTCTTGTGTTCTGTATGTCACTAAAAACTGGATCCATTATTAGTTTGTCAGAAATCTTAAAAGTGGCATGATAGCAGGTAAAAGTCAAGATATTTACAATTCTAACAAAATGAAAATCAAAAGTAGTAAGAAATGCTACAGTAGCACCTCCTAGCTTCCAAAGGGTATTCTGTCATGATTCAATTCAAGAAAGAAATTCAATTTTGCCATCACTTACATAATATTTAAGGACAAAATGTGACCTAGCGATTAATAAGAATTGTCCCAAAAAAGTTTATTTATCATTTGAAAAAGAAGAATTTTCATCACAACACCGGCAATTCTTATATGTAAAAGAAAAGCAAAATGTGCAATAATAACAAAAAAAGATGTAAACAATTAAAATAATAAATACAGCTTTTATGAAAAAAATATATTGCTGCATTGACAGAAATATTCTTATGAAGTAAGGCTATTGTTAGTGCTCCATTATTCACAAGGAGTCACTTCAAGTGATCTTTCACTAGTTAAGCGAATGTGTAAGCCATTACATTATGGAGACTTAACAAAATTTGAGTCCGAGTAGTAACAAAATAAATGGTATGCCAATATTTGCTGATGTAAATTGGGTGGCTAGAAACCTTTGATCAGTAGGCAAAATATTTTGTATGAAAGTTGCATAAGCAGATTTTCTATAGGACAATTCTATAGGAAGTTAACAGAAATTACCTTTACACCAAAGTCATTTTACTCCATTAAGATCACAAAAAAGCCTTAAAAATACCATTTATCAAATGTTAAAGCATTCAGCCACATGACTAAGTGGTAACTCACTATGCCACTCATGATATGCCTAAATTAAAGCAGCATTTATGGTTTTAAATGATTAAGTGGTAATTAATTTGATTTGAATGTTTTTCCCAATTTTGCAAATAAAGTCTGTCTGCCTGTACATTCCTGTTGCTTTGTTCCTTCATCCACCACAAAACCATTAATGCAACTTCATTTATGCATCGCTCTTAAAATAGTGTTAAATGAAAGTAGTTTGTCGAGTTAGTGCACAGCTCCTTCATATTGATCTTTCTGCAAATAATACCAAAGTGTCTTTTAGGTGTCCAAGATCACTATTTACCCAATATTTTCTTTTGCTTCTAGTCCATATAATTAAACTGCATTGGCAAACCTTCAGTCCTGAACCTGAAGGACTCAGGAAATGTCCTAGTGTGTATTGGTGTCAAAAAAAAGAAAAAAAGACCAATGTCTGCAGTTCTGATCCATCGTGCAACAGCAGGTGTTAGTAGAGTTTGACTCCAGAACATCTCAGCAGCCAGGAAATGCCATCCAAAAGCCCAGACAGGGACTCTGCCACTGTATCCTGTACCTGTTTATGAAAGAGAGAAACAGGCTGAAAAGCTCCACAAGCTGAACTCTGGATGGAAAAGCTTTCACCTGATCAAATATCAAGCAATTACCATCCAGGGGTTAGGCAGGTGGGGTAGGCCAAGTCTCTTTGCCATGTCAACACAGGGAGTTCGACACATGGATCTGGTGCTGGGAGTCCGAACTGTTTCTGGTTCCTCTCTTGAGATGCATGAGAGCACCAGCAGAGGTTTGGATGTGGAACCCCTACTGCAGTTTAGCACAGCTCGAATCTGGACTCCTTCAGACTTCTCACCACCTATTCACAACATGAACCATGAACCTACTGCAGATGTTCTGCATTGATCAGTCATTGAGTATGATGTGTCATTGTACTACACTACAAAAAAAGATGTGTTATTTTACCTCTCTCAAGCTCTGCATTGGCAACATAGATGAACCCATCCACCACTTGGCACACCTGCTGAACCTGAGGAGCAGGAACGCACACTGGGTCCCCTGAGTCGTCATTTCCTTCAAAGGTAAAGAGTTTATTGCTGATGCTCTCCTGTTGCACTCTGGCTCTTTCTCGCTCTGCCCTACAGACACAAAAACACAAAGATTAATAACTGCAAAAAGGATGAGAAACAACTGTGACTCATTCAGCAACAAACAAAGTGCTCACCTGTTGGTTGAATACAGAGTGAGGATGTTAAATTTGTGTTGGTTATTGAACATGTAACTTATCCCCGAGCCAATACCTGAAATAAACAAAGGTTTACGTATGTTTGTTTGTATTCTTTGGGTAGATAAGCTGTGTGTATGTAGTGATCTAGTGCCATCTAGTGGTAGACAATACACATAGCAAGTAAACTTATCTGTTGATTAATTCTGTGATTAAAATGCACTGATGTAATTTCTGTAACACATCATTATTACACGTTACCTTTAAAATAATCACATTTTATCTAATTTTATCTTTTATCTAAAGGACAAACTATGATTTACAATTGATTAAAAGGGAAAATCAGCCACTATATTATGCATTATGATGAGAAAAATACCATGAGAAGCTTATCCTTAGATCAGTGTTATCTTACCATTTATCTGTCTGTGCGGAGTGCCTGACACAGGAAGTATATCTGGAGCATGCATAAGCCTTGTGACTAAAGAGACATCCAGCTGCTCCATGCCAGGACCAAACATGGCGTAACGCGGTTCAGACGAGGGTACCAGGGACTGAAAAAATGAGGTCACCACCTCATATGCTGGTCGTGTAGGAATCCACTGCTGTCTGGAGGATGGGCAACCTTTCAGGTATCTGTTGATACACAAGGTTTGCTCAGAAATTTTTCCAGGAAACTGACGGTAATGCAGGATAACAGGGGGATACTCACTCTGACATGTAGTCAAATTTTAGTTTTATTCCTTCATTTCCCTCTTCTCTATCATCCAGGCTCTCGTCTTCACTTATTAGCGGTGCATCCAGCAAGTCTGGATGGGGTATGGTCACATGATCAATGGAGGGCCAGTATGGCATATCCCGCAATAGGAAGTATCTCCACAGTAATGGATCTCTAACCATGGCCCTCCAGTAACGACTTGTGGCTCCAAGGTGGCAGAGATCCGCAGGAGACAGAAAGGTCATGATCAGAAACTGTACATCCACCTTCGGGAGGAATGGCGGAGCACAATTATTTTGATTTTCCTAGATCAACAATAAATATTTCTAGATTAACCTCCTAGACCAAAATACTCAATTGTGCTCTACAAGGGCCTGATATCCACTTAGGAGGACATTATACTGCTACTGTTCTATCAAAATTTTAAACAAATATCCTCATGTGGCTCTTATTTTTCTTAAAAACAAAAATAAGGTAAAAAGAAAAAAAAAATCTGGTAATTCTTTGTTTTTACATTCATCGGGCCCCAATATCTGCCCAATATATGTCCAAATATCAAAGTGAAATTGCAAATGCATGCCGTGGAAGAGTTCGGGTCTTAGGAGGTTAAAATTCCTAGTTAAACCAATTATGTGTATTTGGTTAAGAAGTAGGAAAAATACAGATTGGAAGGGGATAATGGACAATCACTAATACAAGCAATTCTATAATCAGCTGATATACTTCAAAGATAAGTCAAAGGAACTCAAAGTATGGCAGTGTTCCTGCTCAGAATAGTGCAGTCGAGGCATGCCAAATCGGGGACGGGAGGCAATTACGACTACTTTGGAAGCCTACAAGTTGAACGCGACACTTAGACTGAGCATCTATCATTTTTTCTATAAACAGCTTTCAGACTGTGTGTGTAGAACCTGAAGAGAGCAACACTATCCTTTTAGGCTTGTCCTGTCTGAATGAGTGACATATAGGCTACATAGGTAGACGTACACAGAATTCTCCTATGAATGATTCGACTTACCGGTAAGGTATCCAAAGACCCATACTGTTGTTCTTCTTTTCCCGAGTCTCCAACTGTCAAATCGGCTTCAACAACTTTATCAGGGAAATAGCGGTCTCTAAACCGCCTGAGGCTGCGGATCACCAAAGACTCCAGCTGCTGGATCTTTTCAGCCATGTCTTAATTTGTGTCATATGCGAATATTTACTGTGTACAACTAAACACTATGAACCAAGGAAATGCCAACACCGATGTTTTCCTGTCACTTCCTCATAGCAGTGGAGCATTGTGGGTATTGTAGTGCAGTATCATCAAACAAAACAGGAATACGTAGTAAAAGAAAATCTGGAAGGCAAACTAGGAAATTTTTCTTAAAACAAAGCACGTTTATTGTCAACAAGGACATTAAAAAACAAAATGATAGATTTTTTTGCCCAAACAACACAGTTTCTCTATTAATAGTTACACTATCAATGTTATTCAAGTTGCAGAAAAATGGAAGTTGCAATAGATGAAAATACAAGTGGTGCATTACAAAGCTGGTATGAACAAACCTGAACATACTTTGAATTGGTCATTAATACGTCACTGACAAACAGTTCGAACACCTTTCTTTGCCTTCTGTGTGTATACTTTATACACAAATTCAAATAATGCATATGCTATTTTAATATATATTAAAAGCATAACAAAATGGCAACAAAACAATAAATAAATGTTAATGTGCAATGTCTCATTTCCAGCTGTATTATCTTTAAACTTGTTACAATCTTAAAATGAAAAGTCAATTTTTCTTTTTTATTATTCATAACCTCTTTAGTAATATTAATGCTATTGTGACACATTCTTAGAGCAAAACAAATGCCCCAATCAACAGTCTGGAATCAGAGTGGCCACTGCTTTTTCAGCAGGCCAGGGGCAAATAATTATTCAACAGCCTCTTGTGCAGCCCTTCTATTACAATGCTTGTCTTATACTCTAACTTCTCATTCATCTGCTTTGGCCTGGGCTGTTTGGCATAGGATTAGGTTGCCTGTAGACACTGTTCCAGCATCTCCTTTCTTCACATTCACTCTCTCCCTGTGCCTCCCCATAAACTTTCACAAGACTGCACCCCATCCGATGGGCTCCATTTTTATTTGGGATTGACACATTTGAATATTGAACTTTGATCTGTTCCTGAGGGCAATTGTAACAGAGAAGCTATATTTTTCACTGTAAAATACTGAGGATTTCCTTGGCATTCTCTGTGTTCCAGCCCTGCCCTTGGAGAGGGCCCTCACAGGCAAGCACATATTTGTTGAGGATCTGTGTGCCAATGTCCCGAAACTGGAGGCGATCTTCTTTGTGCTCCGTAGTGTCAGCGCTGCAGTCCTCGTACTTGACTGCCCAGAAACACATTTCGCCAATGTACATCATTGTCAACAGGTGTGTGTCTGAGAAAATGCCTGACCCAAAAGATAAACCGGTAGTTAGTAAGACCAGTTGGCGACAAAAGAACAGATTGTTAAAAAAATTTCTGTGTCAGTTTTCAGTTATCCAGGTCATTGTAGTATTAGAAGAAGAAAAACAAAAAGTGATGGATTTCTTTAACTCTGTTGAAGACTTTTCACCTCTCATCCCAGAGGCTTCTTCAGTTTGGCTTCTGTATGTAGAGCCCCAGGTATTTAAACCCTAGTGGGGGTTGTCCCTTAGGAGGTGGTTGCTGACCACTATTAATCATGTGAATCATCAAACAAGCCAAGGTGAGCCATATCCAGTTTTTGGGGCAAGTTTTTTCCGAAGTGTCACCTGAAACTTCTGGTGGTAATGGTCCACGCCTTTTTTCACATTTATACACCTAATTCTGTACCTGTACCCATTATTACGTATGGGACTCTCCACCTTTTGGTTTTAGAATTGAAAAGCCCCTGGGATGAGAGAAAAAGCAGCTGACCTTCAATGAAGGTCAGCTGCTTTTTTTTTTTTAAATTCTCCTAAGATTTTCAAAGATGGGTAACAAATTAGAAGTAAACAACTCCTTTACTAAGGAGTTCAGCCCCCAAACCACATTTAATGATCCCTGCCAATGATTACTCTGGGATGTAATTCTCAGTAACTATATTTATTTGCCAAAACTCTTGTCTCCAAGGACAGAAGAGATTCCAGCGAAGCTGTCAGGTTTCTCCCTACCACAATATAACACAAACATCCGATCACATAACTGTGGAGGTTGTGGGTTCAAGTGTATTCCTTCATTTATCACGTCTATAATAAATAACACATTTACCTTCAGATAAGATGTTTGCTGTAGCAGTGTCATGTAGCACCACACCATCATTGAGCTTTACAGAGTTTCTCACCTGCAGCATCCGCATCAGGTATCGCACACCTTCCTGAATACACTGGGTCAAAAATGTTTTTAATGTTAAAAAAGAAACATAAAAAAGTGGTAAACTATTGGTTTTAATCAAAGTAAAGTTGTACAGCTAACAATGAATGAAACTCCTTAGATCTCTGCATTGTTTGTTACCTTAAGGAATGTTTCCTTGTTTTTCTTGATCCACTGCTTTCGCTGATGAAGGGTATGACAGTACATATACAGCAGAGCTCCACGTCTCCAGTAGAGACATTCTAACAGCTCTAAACCCAACACAGACTGCACCTAACATAAACCAAAAGACACGAATATCAATATCAGACACTCCATGATGCCTCATCCATATTTATTTCATAAGCACTTTAAAAGCATGTGTCCAAGTGTGAGTAGCGAAACCACAAATCAAAGGGAAAATTAAAGTTGAACTGACGTCCAACTGAAAGTAGGATAATTACTGGATAGTTAACCAGACCAAGAAAGAAACACATGGACACACAAAAAAAAAAAAAAAAAAAAAAAAAAAAAAGAGTGTCTGCTCCTCTTTTATATCCTTTGGGTTGTGGCTTTGTGTCCTAGTAACCTATATAGTCTTATATTGTAATAACCAGACTACATGACAGTTTGTGATTTGATACAAAGTACACTATTCATAAAATGGAGTAGAAGACAACACCAAAATCGGTTTGAGACAAACACAAACCTCTTGTGCTGGTGCAAGCCGTGCGGCCAAAACTTCAGGTTCAGTCAGATCTTGAAGAAGCTGCTGAATTTTAAATGGTGAACAGTCCTCAGGGAACTCCTGGTCCACCAGTTTATTCTCTTCATAAAAAGTGATGTCTAGAATCACCTAAATGATGAAAAATAAAATAATTTACAAAAAAAAGTAAAACTGAATGATGTGTTAAAATTGTCTTAAACATTTTGCCTGCACCATGTATAACTTTGCAAAATAGGATAAAGGCCTATAATAAACCTGCCAGCTGTTGCTCCTTCTTTAAACCAATTAAGAAAACTATTTAGGGGGGGGACGACAACAACAACGGTTAGAGATATCTGTATCTAATCTGGAGCTGTAATACAACATAAGCACGCACAACATAAATGAAACTGAATTGAATTTAGATCACGTAAAGCAATTTCCAATAATGCAGTCACTGATTTTACTGTCCCATCAGATCAGCTGCCTACTCAAAAATATTTTTTCTGTCTTTCAAAAAGCTTTAGTATGATGGTTCTTGAACCTCCTCAGAGATACATTTAGGGGAAAATATAGGCTAAAGGCTGAAGGATAGAGTGATGAGAATGGCAGGAAGTACAGTACGCAGAATGGAAAGCACCCCAAAATCACATTGATACAACTGTAACAAATGTAAAACAAAACCGCCATCTTCAACATTTCTTCTTCCCTAACTGAACCATCTCTTGTGGGTTGGTATGGAGTTAGAGGTTTTGTTTTACAGTTTATGGCAAACATTTTACTCCTAAATTTTTAAAGCAATACGCTTCAGAATATCTTTAGTAAAGTTAATCTAGACCAGTTTGCATTAGACATTATTACAATGTCACACAGAGGCTGTAAATCGTTAAAGGAACAGAACTAAAACACTCATAATTAGAGGGTTTTCATTTCAGACAAAGTTTCCATGTTTTCCTGATATGAGCTCTGTAATTATGTCAAAATTTAGATAAGAGCTAAACAGAAGACAGCAGCAACTGCAAAGACGGCCCTTTCAATGAACTCATTATAGAAGACACTATGTTAGCAACATTAGTTGCTAAATAACAATTATTTTGATAGCAGACTAATGTGCCTCATTTTTCTTTGATTAGTCAACGATTATTTCAGTAACTCTTATCTACACTTCCTGTAGGCAAACCTCTTATTCTAGGCTCCAGTACCTTACCTGCTCAAGTCTGCCCACCTATGAATACCCTGTTGTCTTGTCCCACAGCAAAAATAATGACATATGAATTTGAAAATAATCAAATGGTTCTTTTAACATTACTCAATAGAACCATCAGAATAAAAATGAAATAAATCAAAATATTAGGTAATATAAATTAATTTGCTAGTAGCATTTAAACAAAGAAAAAATGTGCAAGTAGGAAACTAAAAATAGTTTCTATCCATAAGTTCAAATAAAGCTTTGAGATCTTTGAGATGATGTTCCCAGCTGTTAATAACCATGCTGAAGATGTTCTCTGTCCTGACTTTAGCCATTTGACAGGTGCATGAGCCTCTTTATTGGACAAAGTCACCCGTATGCCTGTGCTCAACAGTTAAGAAAATACAATTCTGCGTCAACAAATTTTTATAGTCGATGGCAATGATTATGGTGATGAATTGTTGCAGCCCTAAAATTCACAGGAAATTATTTTCAGAGAGTATAGAAAATTTCTTAGCGTTTATTACTGAATAGACGGTGAATTTTGTGATTATGTCTGTGACACAACATTTATGTTACACTACTTTACAAACTTAGCTACAATTCTTGACATGTAACTAGCCTTTGCCTGCTCCATGTTCACTTACTCAAGCCAGAGTCAATATAGATGTGCAGACAGATTTACTTTTTTTTATATAAACTCCCTTATAGTACAGCTGCATTTTATAACTTGCTTCTAGCTATACATGACAATTTAGTCTGTTACACAGACACTAAACCAACAAATATGGGTATTCAATCCCCTGGACATGTGTGTACAATGCTAAACTTAAACTGTAAAAGTAAAGAGACTGGAATGTGTTCAGTTTTTACTTTGTAGAGATGATCGTTTTTTAGTGGCTGCATAGTGTAGTGGTTTACACATCCATCTAACAAATAAAAGATCCCTGGTTTGATTTTGGGAGGAGACACAAATCCCCTTGGGGTTGCAAAAAAGTAAAAACTATATGTGTGAGCAACCAACTGTGGTGACCCCTTGTGAAAATGGGAACAACTGAAAGCATCTTTAAGATATGCAGGGTTTTTATTAAAATGTAGATACAACAGTAACCTACTGCAAACCTGTCACTTTCTGCTTCCACCTTCTAAGATGATTTAGACATTTTATATTTGCGTTTAATACTGCTAAGCAGTGTAAGTAAGAAAAATTTCCTTGTGTTCAGAGCACCTTAGTTGGGTATTTTATTCTGTTTTCTGTGGTTTTGGGGACAAAAATCACTAGTAGTTTAAAAAAAACCCTCATGTTACTGACTACTTAATAAAATAACTTACTGAAACGCAAGAGAGTAAATACAATTTGATGGAAGGAAGTACCTGTGTGTAATCCTGCAGCAGCTTGGATAGGTTGCTACTCTCTCCTCCTTGTCTGTAAAAGCTTTTCAACTTGTCTAGTATGGCAGATGCATTCTGTAAATAGTCATCATCTACGGAAGAACCATATGTTAACATATTACCCAAGTACAAATCTAAACTCATGAAAAATCCCGAGTTATCGCGATTGTTGATCGGGACTTTATAATCATCCACAATTCGACTCATGACAGGAAAAAAAATATTTTAGCATAAAACATAAGCTGACTAGCCCATGCGAGCATTCACAGATAAACATAAGGCCAAAAATGCGCACTAACACGGTGGCGTTTGAGGTTCAGATACAAGTTAAAGTAAAAAAGTTAACGACACCATTTAACATGCAATAAGGACAAGGTAGATGCTTCGTTGCTTTATTGATGACAGTCGTTTAGCTAGCATTACCAGCCATCATGTGTCATACCTTCACATATGTCAACAATACTGCATTTTAGCTAACGTTAGCAGTTAACTCAAAAACCCTAGTGAAATACAAACATAACTCCGCGAGTTATGTACATTCTCCTGCAACGTTGCTAACCACTAATTATAATTAACTAACTGCATATGCACTGATGTGTTCAGAAAGGTTGTTTTGTTTTGTTTTTTGCCAAAATGCAATATTTCATTAGACAGCAGCTGTTGTCATGGTTGCAAGCTAACGTACGCTGGAAGTTAGCTTGATTGCTTGCTTGCTAGTCGATTCCTTAACCAAGACTGTTTGCCACGTACTAAATGAATTGCCGAAAGGCAAACAAATAAACAGTGTAATCGGTACCTTGCTTTTCAGCTCTGAGACTCGAACACTTGATGTCTAACTCAAATATTCTTCTCTCCAACTCGAAACCTTGTCGTCTGTAGTCGTCGGCCATGACTAAAAGTACCAGTCACGGGAGCCACGGATTTTACTCACGTGTTCAAAGAATTTTCAATTTCCGTTTCTGTGCATGCACGCGCACGGCCATAGGATTATATCAGTAAGTCGTCCCTGCGTTTGCAAAAACGTTAACTTTAACCTGTAAACATACGTGTACTTTTAGATAGTGTGGTGGTGCTGACAGCTGAAGGGAGCGTGCGTGCTATAAAGTTAGACGTCAGCTGAGGCGACTTTGGAAAATAATAACTCAGACAGTAGGAAACAAACTGTTGGTAGCCGGTTAGAATAAAAAAAAAAAAAAAAAAGGGGGGGGGGGGGGGGGTAGTGAGTTTTTAGTTATTTAGTCCAGTGCAATGAGTCCTATGCCAGAAACCGTTTCTACACAAAGCGGAAAGATAAATTTCAAAGGACGGATGAAAAAAATGATCTGTGGGTTTTTGCTTGAAATGTCAGGGATGCATGCAGAGGAAAGATATGAGAAATGTAGGGATGAGCTACAGATTTCTGTTTGTTGGAGGGGGCATATTGCTGGAACCTGTGGATACAAATTAAATGAGGAAAATAGAAGGGGAAATTCTGTGCAACATGAGGCAGACTGGGAAAAATTCAGGTATTGCAAGAAGTGTGTTGCAAACTGGTGTAGGACATCTGCCTTGTGCCTCCTCAACATTGTGTTTTCATGGGGCAGAAGGGGAAATAACTAATAACTAAATTCTTTTTTGAGCTGGGTCACCACAGTGGATCTTCATCATCCATTTCAATCCCTATCTCCAATTCTCTGCTGTCACACCAACCCACTGCATGTCCTCTTTCACTACATCCATAAACCTTGTCTGTGGTCTTTCTCTTTTCTTCCTGTTTGACAGCTCCATAGTCAGAATCCTTTAGCCAGTATATCCACTATCCCTCCGCATGTGTCGAGACCATCTCATCTCACCTTTCCTCTCTAACTTTGTCTACAATTGGCTCCATCTCTTGTATATGCTTTTCTCTCATTATTAAACACCAGGAGGCAATTCCTGTTTTGAAATATGGTTTCGATATAAATAAAATAAATTTAATCAAATGTGAAACTGTCTTTGTGTGCTAGCAGATGTTGGGATTGAAAGCACTGATGGCGTGGACAGAGGCGGAGCCAGACATTTGAAACACCCGGGGCTTAGCCAAAAAGGGTAGTATGCATGTGGGATTTTTTTTTTTTTTTTGGGGGGGGGGGGGTATAAATGACTGAAAGATTAATTGGCTCTGTTTTGAGTTTTGTTCAAAGAAGAATGACTTCATATAGGGAAAAATATATATCATATGCAGGACACCTAGAACTAGTTTTTTAATTAGGCAGCAAGGCAGAACAAGGTCAGGGCTGTATCAAGACACGAGGACTAAACCCCAATTCAACCAGACCCAGAACTGATCCAGAATTAAAACAGGACTACAACAGTTCAAAATCAGGACTACTGAGGACTTAACCAAGACAGAACCAGAATCAGAACTAGATGATAGTAGCACTAAAAATCATCATAGACCTGCACTACACTTATTTTTTTAATTCTACCAAAGTCCACTATTTAGATTGAGAAAAGTTTATATAATTATTTAGCCTTGTTGTGCAAACAAGCCTGCAGAACTTAATAAATACAGAATTTGAAAAATAACAAACCTAAAAAGAAACACTAGGTACGAGATACATGAGGACCTGTGATACGGTGATACTTTTGGTAAACAACCATTTGATTAACATGTGTGTCTCACCTGCTCTTGTTCCACCTCTGTTCTGTCCTCATTCTCCATCTCCCTCTCTGCTCCTCTCTCTCCCTCTTTGTGCTGACAGTCATCAAATATACAGTTGAAACCAGATATTTACAAACTCTTCAGATCAAAACACTTTTATAATTGTAACATCAAATCAGACTAAATGTTTATTTTTTAGATTGATAAATATAAAAAACATATTTGTTAACTTTAAGAGTAAAGAGAGAAACTATCTGTATTTCTTAATTGTAAATGGCACCAAATTGTATTCAAACTGAGCCACACTTATGGAGCTCCACAATTATTTTCCTGGTGTTTTGGTTGACATCTCTTGATTTTCCCATGTCAAAGAAACAGACTCTGTGTTTTGCCTTATATGCATCCACAGCTGTGCCACCAATTTACTCACATGGACTCTACTAACCTATCAGAAGCTTCTTCAGCTCAGAATGGAATCGTCTGGAGTTTTCTTATTAATTAACAACAAACTTAGTGTACATGTACTCCTAAATTTGATGAAAGTGATAAAAAACAGAAATCTCTGTCTCTCTTTATTCTGACATTTAACTAATTCAAAATATATTTCAATATTTATCTAAAGCAAAAGTTTACTCTAAATTGATCTTGTACAGTAAAAATGTTTTATGTTTTCTCCCTAAAGTGTATGTAAATATCTGGTTACAAATGTGAATATCCTGCTGTGTACTGAAATCCCTCTTATTTTGCATAGAAATATACTGAACAACATACAAAGCATAACATTTACCTGAGTTTTTTCTTTGAAAGAACCCTCTAATGTCCATTCTTATATTTCAGTACATAACTGAAACCGATTTAGTCGGGGAGGGTAAGAACTGAAAATATGAAATAAACACACGTAAGCTAAGACTCTCTAAAAAAAATAGCATTTGTTCGGCTTTTCATTTTGCCATTTGTTGATTCACTTGAAGAGCAAGTAAGATAATATTAGTCAAGTGATCAGTTTGATATCAATCTTTCGTGATTCACCGTCATATTTACATTATTTGTACGGTACGAATGATTTGCTTTGGTACCTGGTCAAACTTAAGCTCTCCTTGGTATGGCTGGCTCCGTTTCTCCAACAGCGCACACAGGCAGCAGCTGCCCCGCCCCCTCGCTCAGTCGCTTAGTGCCTGAGCTCAGATCATACCAATATCAGGGGGGATTCACGCACAGTCGTAAATTCCCCCAAGTGTGCACTATGTGCTTCGAATATTGTGTGTACTTTTTGTTTTATACAGTTGTCAGCCAGGCATCTATGAAAAAATTACACTCCAAAAGACCCCGGGCTTCTGACAAAACAACCCGGGCTTAAGTCCAGTAAGCCACCCCCACGCTCCGGCCCCTGGGCGTGGATAAGATTAGGTAGAAAATGTAGATTTGCATGTGCCATTTGGCAGGATGCTGTGCCACTGCATCCTTAGTGAGAGGCTGAATCATCAATGTGATAATGGGATGTAGTGGGGAAACAGAGATTGGAAATTGCTCTCATGCATTGCAAGCTGTGTCAGGGAAATTAATGTTTTCTTCGTGGACCTTTGAATACAGTATAGCCCTACTAAAAAAGAACAAGAGAACAAGGGTAGTATTGGGCTTTCTCAAACGCTATGACGCTACAACACCAACAGTAGGCGGCAATGCACTAAAACATGCCTAGCTTACCAGGTGGGGGAAAGATAACGAAGAAGAGCTTCTCCTTTCATCCTGTTTGAAAACAGCCAATAGCGTCGTGTCGCCGAGCTGGGCTTGCGTGTAGCCATATTTTGTGACCCTCAGCTAGCTCGGTTAAAGATCCAGTCAGCGCTCACCCTGCATCTCCGCCTACCCCAAGTTTGTAGCTCCAAATCATGGCGGCCCTCAAAGCTTTGTGCAGAGCGGAAAATATACTCTTGAAAACCCACCACAGAACCAAAATAAACTTCGCCATCCACCAATTGAGCAAGGTCAGTATAACAACAGCGACGTTACACCTGTTGTAGGAGTGTTGAGATGATGTTGCTGCAAAAAAAGAGACGACAGTAGTAAAATATAATAATTCAACTGTCATTAAAGTATTGGTTACATTTGGAATGAAACTATGAACCAAGCTTCGCGTCGTTTATACTGTTTCAGTTTGAGTTTATGTGTTATTGTGGGCTGACCTCAGCCTGCAGGGCGCACAACCTTGCGGATACGCGCAATACAACACATTTGCCAATCCTTTCAAAAACTGCTGCTAAGATCTAGAAATGCATGAATAAAGCGAATCAGGTTATTTGATCTGACTAAGGTATGTGTAGTTGGATGATCACAAGTGCGCGTAACTCAACACCAAGTAATCATAGATTTAGGTCTAAACACCTGCCACACGTTTTATTCAGTGCGGAAAACGTTCAAAAACATGTTCCAATCTTATAGAGTCGTTAAATGTGAAGCTCGTTTTGTTAACTAATAAAAAAGATTATTTGTAACAATGTATTTGTGTGTAATGACAAGAACATTGTGAACTTAAGCTTTCTCTTGAATGCTAGTTAATTATCACCCACACAGTGTGATTGCAGCAATCTGCGTGATAGCTTAGATTTTAACTGCCCTTCATGGTTGAACTTGCGTTTAACTACTGTCTGAGATATGAGAATTTACAAAAGACAGCAGCTCGCATTGGCCTGACACAGGGTTTTAAACACATGAGTTTAAACCTGAATCCTCTGCTGACTGTTGGTTTTTGGCTCTTGGCTGTGCGCTATCATAATCTCGCCTGCATTTGTTGCAGGATTTGTTCAGCAGTTAGGTTTACTTTTCCTTTCTTCTACAGAATAAATTGGATTTGAACTGTGCAAGCAGGTCATTAGGTTTTAAGCCTTTATTTTTTTGTGCTTCTATTTAGAATTTACATGTTTGTTTGTTTTGGTGTTGCGGAAACAGCATTTTTTATGAATGCAAATTTGCTGTATTTCATGCTCTTGTGCTTTCTACAGACCTGTGGCTCTTACTTTTCCACATCAAGTCAGAAAAATTCAAAGTTCTACTCGGATCCTGTAGAAGCAGTTAAAGATATCCATAATGGAGCTACCATTCTTGTGGGAGGTAATGTATAGTACTTTCACAAACATGTTGTAACAATGTCAGATAGGACTTCTTGGTTTATGATGATTTTGTTCACCTAACAGTATGTTATGCTTTATATTTACATACACTCACTGGATGCTATGAGGTACACCTTGGTATTACTGTTCATTTCTTCATGCATAGACTCATCAGGTGCTGGACAACATGCTCCACATCCGTGATGCAAATCTCTCATTCCATCACATCCCAAAAGTGCTCTACTAACTGTGGAGGCTATTTGGTTACAGTGATGAGTACTCATTGTCATGTTCAAGAACGCAGTTATAGGTCATTTGAACTTTGTGACATTGTTTGTTCTCATGCTGGAAGCAGCTATCAGAAGACCTGTGGTCGTAAAGGGGTGGACACAG